GTGGTGGCATTGCAACATCAGAATTCAGTCTTCTCTTATTCCAAAGGCTCTGCTCCTTGCCATTTTGCCAGACAGCCTGCTGCTCAGATATTGCTGCCACTCCTTTTTTGCTCCTTTTCCCTTTCCTCCTCTCCCTCATGTTTTGCAAGGCTGCTGGAGGGATGGCATCCATCCAGATCCTCTTGGGGGCTAAATTTGAATTCTTCATCACCATCATCACCACCATAGCTGACATTAATACTTTGCTATCTTTGCGAATCTCTATTCTCAGCATGTATTGGCATAGTTAATACTTTGCTTGTATTGACATAGTTAATGAAGGTACAACTGATATACCCATTTTATAGATGTCTTCATCTTCATTTCTGCTGGGGCACAGGCAGGCTAGTTGACATGTCCAAGGTCACACAGCTAACCCATAGTAGAGCTAGGCTTATGGCACAGGCATCCTGGTTCCAGAATCCATGTTCTTCACTGGCATTATTCACAGAAGGGTCCAATTTCCAGTCCTGCAATGATTAGGAAACTGCATATTAGGAAACTGATTGCAACTACATTGCATTTCCATCAGATGAAATGTAGATGTATGCCAAAGTACTTGCTCCTCCGACTATAATTTGTGCAAGCATCACCGTAGGGTCTGCTGAAAATGCAATTTCTGGCCCTGTTGATCTTGGACACCTCCTGGGATTCTGCATTTCCCACCAGCTCCCTGGGGAAAAGGTTACGGATACTGCTGGTCCATGAACTTTGTTTTACATAGTAAGGTGCCAGGGTGCTAGTACACTGAGTAATGTTTGCAATTACTTCATAGGTTGCTCTTATTCTAAATATAAAATGTTTCGAACATGCATATGGTTAGAGAAAGTGATACACTAGCCATCAAGATTTGATAGTTATATTTGTTCAGATCTCTTCTATTATGAAAGAAAATGATACAGAAGGAGCTCATCCTATCTCCCCAGGTGGCTACTCTTCTGAAGTTTGTGTGTAGCACTGTGATGCATGTTTTGGTGCTTTTGGGTTTTTTGGTTTGGTTTGTGTTTTGCGGTGCTGGGGATCAAACCTAGGGCCTTAGACATACTAGGCAAGTGCTCTGCCATTGAACTACACGGGGAAGGCAGTGCATCGTGGTGGGATTGTGTGTGTGACAGAGCATGACAGGCCGCTGGCTCTTCCAGGTGATGACCTCATGCGCTGTGTGGACCTCTACAACCAGGCCCAGTCCAAGTGGTTTGAAGAGATGGTGACCACCACTTTGGTATGTGATCAGAGACACTCGAGCATGCCAGTCACAGGGAGCCCTGGGTGGGTGGTGGGAGACACAGGGTGGGCACGGAGTGGAAGTGACCATAAAGTGGTCACTATTCCAGGGTTGGGATCAGAACTCAATCTGGACTTGTCTGTGCATTCAGACCCCTAGTGTCTCCTGTTGTATGAAATCAGCCAAAGGCTGGGTGTTGCTGTCACTTCCTTGGGCTGTCTACTGAGGGCTTAGGATCAACCAGAAACCTCCCTAACTGGGCATAGAGTGGCCCCGTTAGTAGAAAGAGAGGCAACTCCCCCACCCCCATCCCACCCACTCACAGGAGATGCTTAAAAGGCATGTGAACGGGTATGGTAGGAGGAGCCATGCAGGGAGTAGGGGGTACTGAGGATCGAACCCAGTACCTCACGCGTGCTAGGTGAGCAGTCTGCCCCAACCCCAGCCCCTGAGTATCTCCATGTTGGTCAGGACCTGCTGGAGTGAAACCGTGAAGTGTGGCTGGTACTTTGGCCAGAGGGGAGAAGAGACATCATAGCAGCTACTCATCCCTTCTTCCTACTGCCCAAAGCCACCTGCTGTCCCTCCTACAGCCCTGAGCGGCTGGCTTCCCCAGGTGTCAGCCCACCAGGGCAGATTAAAGACCTCTCTACCAGTGACCTGTTTTTACCCCCTTGTTAATCTCCTAATTAAGTCCCCTGCTTTATCCCCCTTCCCGATTAATCACCTGGACAGTGACCTAGTTACTCTACAGCCTGATCCCCTAAATTCCGGAGACACAGAACCATCTAGACACTGAAGGACAAGCCTTTTCTACTCTTCCTTTGATGATGGCTGCTCCACTCCTGCCCCTGCATCTATCTGGTCCCTGTTCTACCCCATCAGGGTGCTAGGGCTGGGGCTGGGCTTGTAGAATCTGGAGAACACGGTTTAAATCCTGCTCTTCCCATGGTTCTATATCTCCTGCGGCACATGGTATTCCCTCTGTAGGTGTCAGTTCCCTTGCTCAGAAATCTCGAAGAATCTCTTTAAAATTATATCGAGAACAATTACATATTGCATAGAAAGCATTTTGTACCTTGCTTTTAGGGTAAGCTAGCAGCTGCTCTCGTAACCTTCACCTTCACGCTAGAGATGGGCACGTTCCTTATTGGAGCCCAGAAAGTCAAGAGGGGTTGGGGTTCAGCAGCCAGTGACTCGTGCATTGGGGTACATGGTGCTTTGGAACCTGCTTGGTGGGAAGGACCCAAAGTTAGGGGATATTCTCAGAGGTCTCTGGTCTTGTTTTCCTCTGCAGGAGCTGGAGCGGCTGGAGGTGGAGAGGGTGGAGATGATCCGGCAACATCTGTGTCAGTACACACAGCTGCGGCATGAGACAGACATGTTCAACCAAAGCGTGAGTTCCCCACCCTGGGGAGAGCCACCTGGCTATATGTCATGGCAGGTTAAGTGGCTGCTGCAAATGAATCATTTCTGAAGCAGACAGTGGGCAGGTGTCCCTCCTTCTGAGTCATGTCTTGGGGTAGATTTATCAGGATTCCTGGATGTCCATGTGATGATCCATCCTGTGTACAAAAAGTATGCACAGGTGAGCTGTTTACCTGAAGAGAGAGAAGCTCACCATATTTAAAATAGCTAAAGATACCATTGCCTCCCTGGGCAAATTGCTTAACCAAAATGAGTCAAAAATACAACTTCTAGAAATTGTTAAAGTACCTAATGCTAAAGTTGCATTTGTTCTATTCTCTGGTGGTGGCTATGGAGACGTATGGAGGAAAAGGTCACAGGCTACTGAGCCTCCAAGGCATGCTGCCCTCTTAGCCAGGCCTGGGCTCTGCTGGATACATGGTCAGGACCAGTTCCAGGCGCTGGCTCTCATGACCCTCTGCACACTGTGACCCTCAGATAGGTTTCCCGTGGGGCCCTAGAGCATTCTAAAGACACTACTCTGAAGAGAGCTTGGGCAAGAGCAGCATGGTGCAGAAGAAACATCCCCAGCTTGGCCTCCACCTTTGACAGTGTCCCCTCTTTCTCTGTCCCTTGCAGACAGTCGAGCCTGTGGACCAACTGCTTCGAAAAGTGGACCCGGCCAAAGACAGAGAGCTGTGGGTCAGAGAGCACAAAACGGGCAACATTCGCCCCGTGGACATGGAGATCTAGACATGCCTGTGCGGCCCCGGGGGTCCTGCCCAGGAGAGGGGCTGGGGGTCCCGTGGAGAGGGGGTGGTGGCTCCCGCTCGGTGAAGCTGCCCTCCCACCCACTCTCCTGTCCACTGAGGAGAGAGGAGAGAGCTGGCAATTCCAGAAGGGTGATCTGGATGGCTCAGCTGGGGAATCCCAAATATTCCCAGGCCAAGAAGACAGACCTGCAACCCCGCCCTTGTCTCCAAGACTGAAGCCCCCCCCAAACCCCGTGCCGTGCTTGTTGCTCTGAGAACAAACTGAGGCTGGAACTTTGTGGTCCCTGCTGAGTTCCATAGGGGTGGCCGTCACATACTTGTGCCCCAAAGCCCATCCTTCACCTGGTCCCTCTATCTCCCGGGGCTTTGGAAGATCAGGGAAGGGCTGTCTCTGCCTCCAAGCCAATGTCAGGTTCAGAGTCATGGATAGCAGGCGCCGTCAGCTCAGCATGCACCTAGAATCCTTTATGGCCCTCTCTCTATTTTTCTCATTGCATTCTAGGAGCCCAAATCTGGCTTTTCTTGGCCACTTTTCATTCCCGTGGGTCTTGGGAAGGCCTGTTTTCTGTCTTCCCTGACCAACCCTGCCCAGAGAGGTCAGGATGGAACTACCTCATTCGGCAAATTAGCCCCAAGTCGGAGCATTGAATCACGGTTCCTATCAGACCAGGCATCATCTCTGAAGTCTCTGGAAATCCCGATCCCTCCATTCCTCAGCTGCTTTCTCAAGGCCGTCCCCACCCCCACCCTGCCACCCCTGCCCAAAGTTCTCTGCCAGGGAGACCTCCTTCAGCTGTGTGCATGTCCAAAAGCTTTGAGAGATGGAGATGAGCCAGAAACCTCATGGGGTCTGTCTCCCATGGTGTACTGTCCAACGCTGGGCTACCGTGACCCCCGCTTTCCCACGCTGCCCACCAAGGGCTTAATAGGGCTAGGTCAGTCCCACATGGGAGACAGGTTAGGGCAAGTCTTTGTCAGACTCCATCTGCTTATGCAAGATAGGGTTTGGACTGCTGTATGGGCATTGCAGACTTTCTCCTTGCTATCCAGGTGTGTCCTGCCACCTGGACCTCCAGCTCCTCCAAACTTTCCAGAGCCCTGCACCAAGCTTTCCCTCTGTCCATCTTCCCTGGAGGAGCCTGAGCCAAGCTTTTTAGCACTACCCCTGGGTTCAGCCCGCCACTTTCTTTCTCGACTACAGCAAACACCATCTCCACCATCTTAGCCTAGAGAATCAGCCTGAGGGGGGCTGGGAGAAAATATTGACACAGTGAGCAAGGAACAGCTTCTAGCCAGAAACCCCTGCCCTGAGAGCCCACCTTTCTTCATCTTTCCCATGGATGGCTTTCGGCTTAACCCTTCCGTCTCCCATGGGGGCAGAATCCTAAGAGCCCAATTCACGGATCTTTCCCTCCGTTTTACATTGCTAATAATGGATGTTAATCTTGAATCCTTCAGCATCTCTTCCATTGAATTAGAATGGCTTTCTCATAGTTTATTTTAGAAAGATGTTCAATATACTAAAGCAAACCAGATCTTGTCACTTTTTTTTTTTAACTAAAACATCCCAAGCACAAAAGCCAACGTGAAGGTGTTCACCATCATGGAGGGGGCAGGATCTGTCCAGCATAAGATGGAAAACCACTCCTTTTGCATTGGGGCTTGGACCATGACACCAGCTACCAATTTTAGGATATTTCTTGGCTTCTCGCTCTAAAAAAAATGGGTGCTAGTGGTCATTGCTGTGTGGCTTAGTAAACTAGAGATGATTTTCGAACATCAAAGCCAACAGCCTGATAATTAACAGATCTTTTGGATGCAGTGGGGCTCCTTGGCTTTGTCCTCTTATTCTCTCATTTGGGGGTCCCCAAGTCCTCTGTTTGTTCCTGCCGTGGAATGAGCTCTCTTGCTCCTTCAGGGTAACGTGAGTTGGCCAAGCCTGGGCCAGTCCATTTTTTTGAGGTCTTTCTTTCCCCTTGACCACCTCCTCTTTAGCCTCTTCACATACACCTCTTGTGCCCTCGGATGTCCATTCATCAAACATTTAGTAAAAGCCAAGCAACGTGCGGAGATCTGAGGACAAAATGCTGCTCAGTCATCAGGGAAGCCCATGAATCTGTTTTATATAGGCGTATCTTTTCCCTAGGCCCCTGGCCTTCAGTAACCTTGACATTCACATAGAAGTACTCTGTTGAGCTGACGTTCACTCTGTTTTTTAGCAGATGCTTAGAACAAGCCCAACGTGCCAAGGAATGAAACAAATTGTGTGGAAGGTGGACACTGTCTCCTCTCCTCTGTGTAGACAGATGTTTAGACCTACCTGGAGAGGAAGAACCTGGCACTTGGGCCACATCTACGTGGAAGGTGGACAGCAACACTATCTTGACCACCTGGTGGCCAGACCCTCATAGCCTCTCTGTTTTATTGGTTTTTAGTGACTCATTGCTCTGCAAATAGAGAAAAGTGAAGCCAGGGACACCATGAGCCGACACAGAATTAAGAACAGGGCTGGTGTCAGTCCAGGCCCAATGTCCCAATTGAAAAGGGACCCCTCCCCCGCACTGCGAGTAAAATCAGGATCAGGACGAAGTCTAGAGAATCTAAAAGTGCATTTGGAGTCACAAGCACACCATCTGGGTTGTCTTTGTTTTGCCATGAGGGGGATCAGCATCCTCTGCCATTGAGCCACATCCCCGGGCTTTGGTCTTACTTGGGCATAAGTCTTGGTACTTGAGGTTGTGGGAGGATTTGGCTGCTTTATTCGGAGTGGGTTTCTGAGAACAGATCAGTTCTCTCCCCCCCCCCCCGCGCCACCATTGGGAGATTGAAGCACTTAAGTTTGCTCTGTGAAATCCTGGTTGAAAAAAAATATATATTTCTAAGATGAATAGGTATTCAAAGTGAATCCGTTGCCATGACAACCTCCAGGAAGAGCCACTTGTTTCCCCTTCATTTTTTTCTTTTTTTTTTTTTTTTCCTAGTGCTTTTGAGTAGTTCTGCAATGCACAGGCTATTTGGACCAGGTGGAGGGTGGCCCCAGGCTCTGTCAATGGAACTACCCTGGGCCTCCTCTCAGTGTCACTTGTCAGGGCTGATTAATGATTGAGGCAGACAGACCCTGTACAAATTCATGGCCAGGATTTTGTTTTTATTCCCTTTGGTGGTGGTGGGGGGAGAACAGTCAAATTACTAGATCAGTGGACGGGTGCATAAAGATCTTGGCTGAGCCAAAGTCCCTTCTTGGAAATATAAGCCATAAAATTCAAAGGTTATCAAAGAGCTTCACACCTTCACTTCTTTAGGTGATTTTGTTTCCAGCTGTGAAGTAGCCTTGGCAAGGAGAATTTGGCACAGGAGTCGAGAGACCTGCTTGTTATTACGTAGGTAGTGGGGACCAGATCAGCAACCAGCTGGCTGAGCCTGCTACCACCGAATGCCCATAGTCTTTCCCACCTCCACCAAAGCTCGGTGCCACCTCCTTTTTCCAGGAAAATTGAGCTATAATTGACAGAGCAAAATTCACTTTTTTTTTTTTTAAGTATACAGTTCTGAGAATTTTTTGACCAAATAACAGTCTTGTACCCAGCGCCCGCAATCAACATAACATTAGCATCCCTCCTGAAAGTCCTACATATCCCATTGGGGTCCACTCCTTCCTCCCACCCCTGACCCAACAAACCCTGATGGATGTTCAGACCCTATTATTTTGCCTTTTTCTGAAAGGAAGTAGGATCACATGGATGTAGGTTTGGAATCGCCCATGTGTGCCTGTGTCTCAGGAGCGTGTCCCTTTGCCAAGTCTACCGTGTCCCCTGCCCGGGTGTCCCACACTGTTTCCTGGAAGTTTGAGATCCAAGAGCTTCACCTTGTTTGGATCACTGCTTCCCAGGGCTCCCCAAGTCTCCTCCAATGTTGGCTCCACCTATGAGTTACCCACACACTGACCTTTCTGGTTCATATTTGGTTTCTACCAGTGCAGGAAGCAGCCAGGAATTGGAGGGGAAGTGGCAGGCAGGGTCGGTCAGAATCACCTCCCACCTCTGCTGCATCTCAGATGAAAGATGTGCTCCCTCCTGGTACCCTCGCTTCAGTTCCGTGGGGGGGTCCCTGCATTTATTGAACATTGAGGCTTCGAGAGGCAAATGGAAAGAACAGAGCTGAAGGGCCAGGACTGGCCCCAGGGCACATCAGGACCTTTCCCTGGATCTGTTGTCCCACCTGCCAGTGAGCGTACTTGTTTTCGATGGTCTCTCGGCTGCTGTGTGCCCTCCCCTTCCCTTCTTGTTTCTTGTTCCATGCCCTATAAACATGGTCATGCCTAATCCCAGTGTCACCTGCACAGTTGTGCAGAGAGCTGCCTAAATTCACAAGGGGACACTTCCCCATTTAGACTCCAGTGCAGCAAAGAGTTTCATGAGCTAAGAATGGAGTGGTTCCTCCTAAGACTACCCGAACCCCCAAAGAAAGTATTAAGTGGCTACTTTCGGGGTCTGTCCCTAGGAGCCAAGACAGTCATGAAGACAGAGTCACCTCTGTCAAGCCCTTGCTGTTGCTGACGTCTTGCTCAGCTGGAGGTCATATTGAGCCTGCCCTGTGCCTTTGTCCCCATAGGCGGTGGCAGAGATAGGACCAGGCGTGGCCATGGCCAGGCGGTTGGTGACCACACCTCTAAGCAAAGCCTTGGTCACGGGCTGCTCAGTGAAAGGTGAGCCCTAGAGGGCAACTGGGAACCTCTCCATCTGAATTGGGGACAGTGTGGGATTCAAGCCAGATGAAGGTCAAGGCTGAGAAAGCAGAACTCAGGGTCCCAAGGTGGGAGCCAAGGCTGCTGAGACCCTCCAGGGTTGGGTTCTGGGTGGAAGGACTCTCCATACCTCCCACCCAGGAGCTGTGGGTTTCCTAAAGGGGAGGGACCCACTCCAGGTGCTCCAGGTCAGGGTGGGTCTAGGAGAGGGCAAAGACCAATGGAGGCTGGGCATGGCTCTGGAGGACCTAGGTCGGACGGTGTCTTGGGGTGGGGGTGATGACCTTTGGACTCCCTTGGTGGTGCTCGGGGACATTCGTACATGATACATACAATTCCTGTAGGTTTTCAGGGGGATTTCTAGTGGATTGCAGTGGTAGAAGGTAAATGGTCAGGACCAATAGGCTCTCTCATGGGGACAGTATGACACGGGGACCGAGAACGAAAGCCTACAGTACTAGAGGAAGAGTCAGGGCTAGCCCTGCCCTGCAACCTCCTTTATCCTGTAGTCTATTCACACACCCCCATCTGGACCTCTGTGTACTCATTTGTCAATGCGGCTCCCACTGCAGAGGGGCGCTCTGGAGTAGCGGATCTCACTCAGCCACGGGGGACCCAGAGACGGACATTCCAAGGGTCTCCAGCCATCCTGGGAGATGGGCCCCAAATTTGCAACTCTTTCCTCTCCTTTAGGAAGGCGATGACGGGAGGCATGCCCTTCACAGACAGAGCACATCAGCAGACCCTGCGAAAGCGGAATTTTCTAACAAAATAAACTTGCTTGTTTGGTCTGTTTTCTGTAACTTTTGCTAAATACTTTATACATTTTTTGATGTTAAAAAGCTGTGTCTCCTGCCAGCATTCCTTACCCCCCCCAACCCCCCCACCCCTGTATGAATGTGTTTACTTCCCATTGTATATCCTTCCATCCTCTGGCTGCCTAGATCAGTAAATAAAAAATTGATGTAATATAATTTATAAGTAACACTGTTGACACTCTGATCCCGATGGAGGCTGTAATGCGCCCCCTCTCCAGCCCCTCCCCACCCCGCCATAATAGCATTTGTGTGTATTAAAGCTGAAGAATTAAATGTTTAAAGTTTAAATTTTGAACGTGTTGGCTATAGATAATCGCCCTGCCTTACTATAAAGCGTTTTCAGGAAGTTCAATACCATCTCATTTCCACCGCCCGCACCCCCCCCCCTCTTCAGTTCTGGGTGTACACTTGAGATGCTTAGATTCATCCCATGTAAAATAAACTGTCCAGAGACACTGGGTCCCGCCGGGTGACCCTTCTTCCTCGAGGGCTACCACACTCCTCCTGTGTGCCTGGCCTCAGCACTCCTGCAGGGCTCTCAGTAATCTTGGTGATTATTTGACTCCTGATGATCTAGCAGGTGGATGAAGGGTACCTGGATGTTGATGCCCGGATGTAGACTACACTGTCAGCTCCACCTCCATTCCCCTGTGGGTTTCAGCCCGCTGTCTCCCTTCTGGCTCTGGGGCTGCTGGTTCTTTAATTATTCCCCCCCCCCGCCCTTCATCCATGCATTTATTCATTCAATCATCATGGAGCATCTGTTATATGCCAGACATTGCTCTGGGCTCTGAGAGCACAGGAGAGCTTTGCCCTCATGCAGCTAATGGGTAGTGGACAGGGACGGACAAAACCCAGAGACCTGGTAACTGTGTCCTCCTGTGGGTGCAGAAGATGTTAAATGTGATTGGAAAAAAAAAAGAACGGGGCAGGGTGAGGGTGGGTACACTGCAATATGAACCAGGAGCGTTGTTGAGAAGGTGGCATTTGATACAAAGCAGAGAGACCCAAGGGGAATCCTGGCAGGTTGCTGGGGGCGGGGGGGAGGGGGGAGATTATTCCAGGCAAAGGAAATGACCAGGGTCAATGTGGTCAGCGTGGCTGGTGCAGAGGGAGCAAAAAGACAGCAGGTGAGCTCAGGGAAATGGCGGTGGGATGTAACAGGAGCTGTGGGGCTGTGCTGGCTGTCACAGGGCTCTAGGGGACATGGACAGCCACATGCAAATCTGGACAGTGGCAGAGGCAGGAAGAACTCTTAGAAGGGACAGGAGATATCCCTTGCAGGGGTGCTCACCATGGGGGTGAGGAGAGTGGTCAGGTCCTAGAGGGAAGGTAGAACCAAGCAATGTCTTGACAGGTGGGAGAGACATGTGGCAGGAAGAGATGTGCTAAGGATGACACCAAGCCTTGTCATCCCAGCGACCGAAAGGATGATGGCCACGGTCGGGGGGAGGAGCATTTTTCCCCAGTCTGTCTCCCCATTCCTTTTTGCCCTCTCTGTGCAAACGTTCTGAAGTCCCTGATTCCAGGCCAAGGGGCAGGACAGTCATCTTGTCCTTAGCTCACAGGAGGCCAACTGAGCTCCTGCAGCGACAGGTCCAGCCTCTGGGCAGCACTTGCTCCTTTGGATTCGGGCAAGGTGGCCCAGGGGAGGTACACATTGGAGGTTCTTTGCCTGGAGACAGGGCCTTGTCCCCAATAACAGCAGCCAGGGGTCTTTAGGATACTAGGAGAGTTTACGGCCTCAGCTCAGACTTAACAAATCCATTCACAATACATCATCTCCAGCAACTTGTTTGGCTAAGGAGCATAAGCTCTCCCTCTGATAGAAGATGTTTATGCAGGTTTTCAAACAAACCTCCAGGTCATGACCCCTCACTCTGAGCAGCATCAACACAGCTGCCTGCAGCCCCCTCCCTGCCCCGGTCCCCTCCTGTGGGGGCCCCTTCTGGGTACGGAAACCTGAAGAATGTGGACTGTACCAGGATGCTTCCAGCTCCTTCCTTTTGCCCCTGGAATGGGGACAGGAAGCCTGGGGGCTCGGGCAGACTTCCACTTACCCCAGGGCCATGGAACCTCTTGCCCCAGCTCCTCGCCTGTAGAAATGGAGATTCTGCCTACCTCAGCCTCCTGGAGAAAGAGGCAGCTGTAGTTTAAAGAGCCCAGAACCAGGAGCTGGCAGACCTGGGCTCTCCAGATTGCCATTTAGCAACCGTGTGACCCACAGTGGAAGACCTGCCTTTTGGAGCCCCAGTTTCTCACCTGTGACAACTGGCCTTGCCTTGTACGCAGGTCTGCTGGCACCCCAGAGGCTCTTCTGGTCACCTCCCACTTGTGGCATAGAACACGGGCCCCAGTCCTCTGGTTTTGCTCCCTTTCTACTCTCCAGGGATGCATCAGGCCACAGGGAATCTCCATGTGAACATGATTCCAATGTGCAGCCTGGGGTGGGCAGGTGGGCCGATTGGTTTTCAGGTTTGGTGACTGTCCTGTTTCTAA